GGACGTTTGACACCAGATGAAGGGGCTGTAGCCCCTGTTTATTGCGCCTTATTGCCGGAAAATACAGAGATAAAAGGAAAATATATCTGGCATGATAAAACATTATCAGAGTGGAAATATATAATAGATGGACAAACTGGATTGTGCTAATCATTCCTATGATGCGTAACATGAACAAATAGCTAGTTGTTATACTATATATTTGTTTTTATCACGTTAAGTACTTAATAAAAAAAGGAGCAAGGATAACACAGAATCTACAAAACAAATGTAGAACACCTTTTTTCTTACAAATATCTCTTATTTTAAAACAACTGAATAAAAATATATATTGAGGTATGTTACATTATTACCCACATTTTCAGAAAAAAAAATCTTGCGTGAATAATGTGAAACGATTCCCTATATTATTTTCTATACTAAATACAAAATGTATGTTATAACTAAAGAGAAGAAATGGATTCTTGACAAAAGCAATGCATTTAATAAAACTATGAGCTATCTCGCTTGAGCGGTCATCGCTTCTCTCCGCGCTGCTTCAGTTAAGAGATGGATATCTACTTCATCCACTGGAAGTTGTACATATCGTACCACAGATCCACGTATGAAGCAATTCTTTACCGATAACTAGAATTTAATATGCATCTTGTTAATTATATTTGATTGTGCATTAAATTTAATGACTATATTGCATATAACTGTCATCGTTAGTCATTACTTTAATTTTAAATTAGCAGACAAAGGTTTAAATTTGCACGACAAACGTCAATGGCAATTGACTTATTGACATACCATGTGAGGATACTTCTCTGAATCCGTTACGCTAATGTCGGCCAGTTTTATGTTCAGATACTGATCGACGGAATACAATGTGCCGCAGATACTGAAACAAAACGCGTTGTAGTTGTCGGCATCAGTGTCATATTCAAAACGTTGTAATCGCGTGACAACTCACCTGAGGTCATTTTTTAGCTCGACCACCACGTCCTTTCCGATCAAGGATTTGAAGAAGGAATAGAACAGCTGAAATTGAAAACACGCTCGGTTGAACTTGATAAAAATCCGGATGTTATTCGCGTGGAAAGCCGGATGTTACGTATCTCGCTATCGCGACAATCTACGTTTTAAGACTTACCATGACTAATTCGATAGATCACTGCGATCACTAGGATATTTAGTATCGTGTGTGCTACTTTGCAATTATTTACAATGATAAATGCCTTACAAAGAGTCTCGGCGGCAAATTTATAACCTCATCACGAAACGACGAATCGACGGAGCGACGCTGCGACGCATGGAGCATAATATATATAGAATGGAAACTTTCGCACGATTTGAGCGAGTATTAGGCTGCGGTCACATGATGCGTCATGCGTGATGCGGGATAGGCGTCCGTTATAGCAACAACCAATCAGAGCTATCCCGCATAACGCATCCCGCTTGATTTTCGTCCGCCCTGTGCACATGGTACGGAATTTAGCCAAAAATTCGGCTACAGAATTTAAAAATATTTTTTCAAGTTGTAAATTGTATTGACAAAGTTTTTAATAATGTAAAGACAAAGGTAAAATTAATATTAAAGAGTATTATACATTTCGCGAATCAATAAAATATCGTTTCAAAACAGCTGCGAAGTAGCTTTCCTTGCCAAAGCAGCTGCTTTGAACGGTTTTTCCCAAAATTTAGCCAAATTAATTAACGAATTTCATTAAAATTAATCGTTTTAATCAGTAAGATCAGCCGCAACCCGGTACATAGCCGGATTTTCCATTTTGGCTCTTAAAAAATCTATATATATAAGTACCGTTTTCTGTCTGTATGTACGCGAACTACTCATTCGTTAGTGGACCAAATTTTTACCAAAAGTATATGAAATAGGGGTAGAATTTTCCGGGGATAAAAATGTCGTGGTTAATTTTTCGTTACCGATTTTTTTGGAAACCGGTTCCGAAATTTTTTCAAATTTTACGAGAATTAATTGTCCAAATCTCAAAGAATTGTATATGAAGTAAGGGTAGAATATATATATGTCCCAGAGAGTGCCATAAAATGTACAATTTTTCGTTATCGATTTTTTTGGAAACCGGTTACGAATTTTTTCCAATTTTTCGGGAATAATTAATTGACCGAATCGCAAAGAATTGTGTATGAAGTAGGGGTAGAATATTTTCCGGGGATTGCCATAAAGTGTAT